GGCCCCAGGCCCCGACCAAGCTCCTGTAGAGCTGTGGAAGTTCGCCCCCCGCCATTGTCGACTCCTTTTATTAGACCATTACAACCAAGTGTTCACACAAGCTTCGTCCCCGCGAACGTGGTGCCTTGCACACGTCATCATGATTTTCAAGGGTAAGAAAAAAAGACCCGAAACAACCATCCAGCTATAGGCCCATCTCCCTCGTGAACACAGTGTACAAAATTTATGCGGCCATGCTCCACGCCCGACTCAGGGAGAGCATCGACGGCCGTTTGTCTCCCTTTCAGTATGGATTTCGCTCCTCCAGGTCCACGTCTACCCCACTGTTCATCATACGCAGACTCCTGGAACTACATGAAAGACACGGTCTATCCTTTTACGCTTTATTTCTAGACTGGGCCCAGGCTTTCGACGCAGTCTCACATCAAGCATTGGAGAACGCCTTGTATCGTATAGGTGTTCCCAGAGCATTCCTTGCGCCTGTTATGGCAATATACGAAGCTCCAGAATTCCAGGTTCGAGATTCTGGCATGCACTCCCCAGTGCATAAATTTCGGAGGGGCATCCGGCAAGGGTGCCCGTTATCCCCATACCTTTTTATTATAGTCTTATCTGTCCTTTTCGAGGATACTTACTCTGAATTGAGCGGCAATTTGGCGCTAGGCACTCGGTATTTTCATATGACCATCCTCTAACCGATATAGAATACGCGGATGATACTCTCCTGCTCTCTAGAACAGCCATTTCTCTTAATCGTCTCCTCCACATCCTGCAGTATCTGGCCATGCTACGAGGCCTTCTCCTTAACTCCGACAAATGCCATCTCCTGGCAATTAATCACAGAGCGACGGTCTCTCTTTTGGAGACCCCGGCACGGGCCTGTACCTGCCCATCGTGCCACCCCATCCTCAGAGATGAGGATCCTCCATCGCTCATTACACTCCATCCAGAAGATTTCGCTCAATACCTCGGGGCTATGATCCAACCCAACTCCTCAGCTACGAAAGACGTTCAACATAGATATTCGCAAGCGCTGCGCTGCTTTAAGGCCTTGGATCCCTTCTATCGCAATGGCTCTATCTCAGTTGCCAGAAAGTTGCTAGTACATGCGCAAATTACTCTGGCAATTTTACTTTATGGCTCTGACTCCCAGGTTTACTCCAGGGATCATATAGCCAGACTCAATCTTCTTCACTACAAAAACCTTACGTCAGATCTTCCACATAAAGAGTTCGTTCTATCACAAAGTCCTCTCACAATCAGAGGAAGACTGCTCCAACGCTTATCTGATGCGGCTCGCGTACGAACATTCACCACGCTTACGTACCCCCTCACAATACATTCAGTCAGCTCGCATAGCTTACTTGGGCCACCTTCTCAGACATTCGGATACCCTAGAAGCTAGAATAGTGTTTAATACAGCACATGGATACAGACAGCTTGCCACGCGCCGACCGGGCGCTCCGCGCATACACTGGGCTGAGTTGTCTATGGCTGAAGCCTATTACCGACATCAATTCCTTGCCTCACATCCCGTCCCACCACGAGTCCATGAGGTAGACCACCCTTTCTATTCTCTCCTCCACCGTTCCGATATCACACGTTTCCATACGGGCAATTTGGACAATACGCACATATACCGTACTTTACGACCCCTGGCGGATCAAAGGTCACAATGGCGATACCTAGTGTTCCCAAGATGAGACCACTTGCTGAGAGGACTGCTGACAGGCGGTTCGAACCTGAACTCGCTTTTCGCTTCCGAGAGAGAGAGAGGAGTTTAGGTTTAGAGATTAATGAGGAGGTTTGGGGGTTTAGGTTTGAGGGTTTAGGGTGGAGGGTTTATGAACTTTTCGGATGCCCAATTTGGGGTATGTAGGGATTATATGAGGGGGTATGGCTTATACAGATACAATGTTTTTAATGTAGAGGTGTATACGGCTGTGTAGGTTCTGATGCAGGAACTTGGGATCATGCCGCAATAGTGGAGAATCAAATTTAAAATGAAATGGAATGGAAGTTGCTTGACATAGGCATTGTAAAGGGACAAGTCAGAATATTACCGCAACTGTGGAGAATCAACCAGACAAGAACAGGAACTGGACACTTCCTTAAACCCTAAACCCTAAACCCTGGAGGTATGTACGATGCCCGTTTGTTGTAGTGCTCCTGTACCTCAGAGATTTTCCCCTGTCATGCAGGCGGCAAAAGGAGTGATAAAAAGAGACCCTAAACCCTGCGGCGAGGTTTACAGTGGAACTCTTGGTCTGTCGAGCCTGAGGGGCACCCTCACGCATGAACAGCAAGATTGGATGTGGCTTGGCATGTGAGCTGCTGTCAATACTAGGGGCTACCAAACGACCTTTAAGGGTTTATGGTTAAACTGTCA